GGCACCGGGAGCCGGCACCGGCACCAGAAACCGGGAACCAGGCAGCGAGAATCGGGCACCGGGAGCCGGGAACCGGGAACCGGTACCGGGAGCCGGCGCTGGCATCGGCACCACGAGCAGGGAACCGGCACCGGGCTCCTCAGGGAACACAGCCGGTGGTCCCGGGCGGCTGAGGGGACACGGGGAGTCGGTCCCGGGGGGTCCGGGACTGGGAGTGCCGGGAGCGGTCCCGGGAATCGGTCCGGGGTACCCGAGGGTCGCTCTTGGCGCTCGGTCCCGGCGAGTCCCGGGTGTTGGTGCCGGGACGTGCCGGGGTCGGTCCCGGCGGTGTCGCCCACCTGATCCCGCGGCCCCCGCTTGTCCACGAAGCCCTCGTAGTAGTGCCGGGCCCGGGCCCGGGTTCTCCGGGGCAGCGGCACCGGCCGCTCCATCTCCGCCGCCGCGCAGGAGCCGCCGCAGTTCCCGGCACCGGCCCCGCCCGGGCCGGGGCGAAGGGCGGCGGGCGGGTGTCCCGGCCGGAACGGGGCATCCCCGGTGCGGGGCTGAGCCGCCGTGTCCGTCCCTCCCGGCGCAGCAGGTGCGGGGCTGCGCCCCCCGCACGCTCCCGGAGCCGGTGCCGGTGCCCCCCGTGCCCCTCCCCGGGGCGAGGGGCGGCGGGCGGGGGTCCCTGCCGGGCTGGGGGTCCGTGCCCGGCGCGGGGCTGAGCCCCCCCGTCCCCCGCCCGGTGTGGCAGGTGCGGGGGCGAACCCAGCAGGTTCCTGCCGGTCCCCCCGCCCGGTTCCGGTGCCGGTGTCCCCCCTCCCCGGGGCCGGAGCGAGGGGGTCCCGCCGGGAGGGGGGGTCCGTGTCTGGGTGCGGGGCTGAGTGCCCGTGTCCCCCCCCGGTGCCGGTGTCCCCTCACCCCCCCGGGCGGGGCGGGGCGCCCGGGGCCGCCCCGTCACGTGTCGCCGCCGCCGCCGCCGCGCGCACCGGGGGGAGGCGGGAGCGGCGGGAGCGGCGGGAGCGGAGCATGGCAGGTACCGGGGGGGGGGGCGGGGGCGCACCGCGCACCGGTTCCGGGAACCGGGAACCGGGAACTGGCAGCGGGGAATCGGACACGCACCGGGCACCGGGCACGCACCGGGATCGCGCGCGCCGGGCACCGAACACGCACCGAGCACGCGCACAGCGGGCACGCACCGGGCTCCCGGTACCGGACACGCACCGGGAGCGCACCGGGAAGCGGAGAATCGCGCACGGACACGCGCCCCGGCCGGGGACGCGCACCGGTCACTCGCTCCCCGCCCCCCGGGGAACGCGCGTGCACCTGCCCGAGCGCGCGCCCGCGGGACCTCGCTGGGGACATCCCGGGACATCCCGGGACATCCCGGGACATCCCGGGGCAGGAGCGGAGCGGGGGCGGGGCGGGGGCACCTCTCCCCCGGGGAGCTGTCGTGTGTCACCCCCGGCCTCCCCGCAGCCCCGGGCTCCGGGACCTGCGGGGCCAGAGGAGACTCAGCCCCGTGTCCCCCGACCGTGTCCCCGTGTCCCCCAGCCGTGCTCGGGCTCCCCAGCCGCGTCCCCCAGCGGTGTCCCCATGTCCCCCAGCCCGGTCCTGTGCCCGCCAGCCGTGTCCCCGTGCCCGCAGTTCTGTATTGTCACGCTCCTGTGCCCTCACCCCCATGTCCCCGCCTCAGTGTCCCCCAACTCCCGTCCCCGAGCCCTCCTCCAGCCCCTCCATGTCCCCGCGTCCCCATGTCCACCTCTTCCCGTCCCCACGTCCCCCGTGTCCCCATCCGCAGGAGGCAGAAACCATGGTGGGGGGACCCAAGGGTGCTCTGGGGGACACCCAGGGGTGCTGTCACACGGTGTCCCCTCTCCCCCGCAGCTCTGGCCGCCGCCTCCCCCGGCGGGGACGAGTGTCTGGAGGAGGATGAGGATGAGCTGGAGCCGGGGCTGGACGAGGCCGAGCCCGAGGCCGGGAGCGGCGCGAAGGCGGCGGGGGCGGCCCGGGGGGCGGTGCTGACCCGCCGGGGCATCACCCTGAGGGTCCTGCTCCGAGACGGGCTCCTGGAGCCGGGCAGAGGGGTCCTGTCCATCTACTACCTGGTGAGCACGGGGACAGGGCACGGGGAAGGGGGACAGGGATGGGGACAGGGGACAGGGATGGGGATGGGACAGGGATGGGGACGGGACAGGGATGGGGACAGGGGACAGGGATGGGGACGGGACAGGGA